AATAATAATAATAATAATAATAATAATAATAATAATACACTTGGGAAGTGTCCGATGTGGGATCCAATACAACAGCCAACAGAGTGTCTGCTGTGGACTCACCCTGTGTTTCAATTAATAATAATAATAATATTGAAATAAACTTGTGGCCATTAACGTACCATTTTGAGTCTGCAGGCGCCCTTTGCTAAAGTCCTCTTCTTCTTTGTTTTGCTTCAGGGATCTGCCTGGCCCATGCTGCAAGCTATTACGATTCGTCGAGAATCTCAAAACAGGAATTGAGCAGCGGACGGAACTATGGGCTATTCCAGTTCAATAACATGGAGCATTGCTCCGATGGATGCCGTACCTCCCTGAATGTCTGCCGCGCGGATTGCATAGGTAAAGTCACCTCTCTTCTTGGGCAGAACCGAGGGGGGGGGGGGCAACAAAGGGCGTACCTATCTACACCACCTGTGTCAAAACTCAAGGCCCACTATAAAGTGTAGGAAGACATTTATTTAGGAAATAAAAATAATAATAAATCCCAAACACACAGCAAAACACCACTTGTATTGAAACGAGGCTTCTGCGTTCACAAGCCCCAAAACTCAAAAGCTGCCATTTTCTTCCTGGCCAAAAAAACCCTTTTTGAAAGCGCACTGGCACACACCAACTTAGCAGTGCTGATAATCCCTTGTCTTACTTGAGGTAGTTTGTGAAAGCGTGTGATTGTATTAGCCCTCAGGCTTGAGTTACTGAGGTACCCTTTAATTTATAACTTTAAAACCTATGCTGCCGCCATTAAGTTCTTGAACCCTGCTTAAAGCTGCTTTTAAGCACAGAGGCACACTTGAGTCAGATGTGATGAACAATGAACATTAAAGTTTATTTACAAGAACAGGAACAATGCAGGTACTAAGATTTGTTACTGTTACTGAGATTTGTCTCGAAAGCATAATGTTTACATAAACAGTTCTAACTTTGTTGCACACGAATACCTACAGGACAGTTTCTCTGACAGTTATTCTTCAGCAGCACAGATAGTCCCAACCTGGATCTATCTCACTACTTCCCAGCTATCCTCCCAATAGCTGTAAACCATTCACTAACTAACCCAGCTAGAGAATTTGGCCAATCTCAGGCCTTTTCTACTAACCCTCTACACCACTAATCTTCAAACACCCTCACTCTTCAACACCCAATCCCCTGACAGGGATTTAAAAACCTCTCTTCAAAGACAACTTTTTTCCTCTTGCCAAGTTAGGCTCCGCCCACTCTAACATAGCCAATCACATTCCTCTTTCATTTCCCTCCAAAAGGCTGGTCTTACTAAATATGGCCCCTCCCGGAAATGAGTGACCAATATGGATTCCCCCAGCACCTCTTCTTAAGATGGCTGCCGACTCCTTGGGCCTACTATTTTCCAAGGCTTCTCTAAGCCTGACTGATAGTAGATTCACTACACCTGCCATGTCATTTTCAGTGTACCTCCGCCACCTAGATCCCTCATCATTATAGAATCATAGAATAATAGAGTTGGCAGAAATGTGCCTCTACAGGCATTATCTTGGCCTTATTCATTTTTACCCCGCCCATATCACTCGGGTCTTCCAATGCAACTCCATAGGCATTGACTGCATTGGAAGGTAGAGTTGCTGGCTAAGTCTTCCAATGCTACTCCAAAGGCATTGGCAAATTTTCCTATGCAACTCAAACAAACAAAATGGAAGATCTTGTGCAACTGCAGAACAAACGCCTTTCATTTCCTATAGAGCATTTCAATTCTGATAGGTAAAGACAAAGAAACAATAAGAGAACACTGCATGGCTTCACTGGAAGGAAGGACCTAATCACAAAGGGAATGTCTTTCTCTGACTCTAGATTGAACCAGAGAGTACTCAATTACCTTTAGAATAGAGGTAATTGAGTCATGGGAGTTTTTGGCATCCTCCAGTCACAGTGCCCGCATTTCTCGTTTCTCTTGTTGACAGACTTCATAGACGATGACTTGACCGACGATATCCAGTGTGTAATGAAAATAATCGCAGCTGACAGCGGGTTTGGGGAATGGTAAGTGCGTCCATTGGGCGGCGTCCACACCGTAGGATTAATTCAATCTGATTTATTTATTGTGTCAGTCTGGTTGATGCAATATGATACCACTTAAACTGTGGTTACAACTCAATACGATGGAGTCCTGGGAGCTGTAGTTTGGGGAGGCTCCTGTGCTCTGTAGCAGAGGTGACCTTGTGAAACTACAGCTCCCAGGATGCTATTTGCATTAATTCCGCAATGTAGGTGCACCTTCCGTTTGCTAGATTCGGCAGCAGCTATGTCATTCAAAGTACAAGCTAAATGTAAAGGAGGGAGGATCCCCCCAAAATAATCTAACACCAAATCTCAATGTATATCACGCCACTGGACACCAATATAAAGGATCAAACGATATACTATAATATCAATATCTCCACTGGCACCAATTATAGAGAAGTGCRAAGTTATATCTTGTAAATCACGCCACTTGCCATCAGTATAACGAAATGCGTAGTTATCTAACACCAAGTATCTCACCAGTATAAAGTATATACTATAATATATTCCACAGCTGAACACCACTGTAAAGGATTATATGTAATATCACACTMCTGGACAATAGTATGGTAGCGATATGATGTTAGAGGTGTGTAATGGTAGAGTGAACACTGTTTCAGTCTTCTTTTGGTTTAATGCTGCCACCAACCCAAGATGTCTTAGGATTTTAAAAATGCCGCTCTGAGGTAAAACTTTTCCGTTTTCTGCCACCACTGCCCTCCCTTTAACTCCAAACAGATGATTGTCAGGGTTAGAGTTCTTTTTGAGATATCAGGATGATGAACTGACTGGAAAATTTACTCAAGGATTACTGATAGAATGAGTAATGATAGAGGCTTCTTAAAAGTCAAGCAGAGAAAAGGTTTATTAATAAAAAAACAGACAACTGACTTCTTTTGAGAGGCACAAACACTTGACTTGTTACTATAGCACAATATCTTAATGGTTGCTTAGAAAAGTGTTTCTTGACTTGGTTACAAACAGAGCTACCATACAGATATCGCTACTGGTTACAAAAAAATCCCTCTACTTCAGCGAAATAGCAATGAGATCTTGACTAACCTATCCCAAGCTGTCTTCTGAGTAATTAGCTAACTCTCCCCAGAGTCCTTACAGCTAACTTACTCAAACTAGAGAGCAAATCCCTTGTATTATCTCACACAAGTATGCTGCCTGACCTTTTTTGTCAGCTATTCAGCCCTGCCTGAAATACACACACTCTCTCTCAGAAATACCCAGTCTCAAAAACCACTTCTTCGCCCTCCAGTTCCCAAATCTCTTCCCCTCTCTCAAGCTCAGAAGCTGAAATCTCTTTCCCTCCCAAGACTTGGCTCCTGCTCTAGCCAATCCCAGGAGACCTCCAACTCCTCCCATCTTCTTTCTATCCTCCCTCAAGATGGCTGCTTTACTGGCAGACCCTCTCAAAATGGAGGTTTGTCCTACTGTCTTCCCAGGCTTCTATTCTGGCTTATAAGGTAAGAATCATCACACTAAGCATCCCTTTTCTGGAATTTCAAACTACACCGAAATCCGAACAATACCAGATGGCTTGTTTGTGTACCAGATGACTGTTGTGTTGTCTGTGCGAATCTAAACCACACGGCCCTGAAGGGAGCGCTCGAAGCGCTTTCTGGACAGCAAATCAGCCTGTTTCCCCAATCGGTAACCCTCTGACCTGGCAGATGTACTGGCAGCATAGGCGGTGCCTCCGTGGTGGAGAGTCAACATAGCCATATGGGCCTGGGCTATGATCCCACCAAGAGCCACGAGATGGTGAGATCATAGATGGTGGGAGTTCCTGTTGGAACATGGAACTCCTTGAGCACCATGTGGTCCTGGAAGCAGAGGACTGGCAAGAGGAAGATCTGCGCCAACCATGTTGCTCCCTTGGCAATGGGGCCACTGACCATCACGAAGTTTGACCATGAACCTGATCACAAAGTTTAAGATCTTCAGGAGAGGCCCTGCTCTTGAGCCCACCACTATCAGTTGATGGGGATGAGAGACAGGGCCTTCTCAGCAGTGGCCCCCCACCTATGGAACACCCTCCCTAGAGATATCAAATTAGCCACCTCCCTCTTGTCTTTTGGAAGGAAAATCAAGACCTGGTGATGGGACCAAGCGTTTGATCAGTGAGCAGCAAGTGGAAGAAGACCGCACAACTTATGGCAATGAATTGACCCAGACTGGTTTTTTGGATTTCGATTTTAATGAACGTAGAATCATAGAATCAAAGAGTTGGAAGAGACCTCCTGGGCCATCATCCAGTCCAACCCCATTCTGCCAAGAAGCAGGAATATTGCATTCAAATCACCCCTGACAGATGGCCATCCAGCCTCTGTTTAAAAGCTTCCAAAGAAGGAGCCTCCACCACACTCCGGGGCAGAGAGTTCCACTGCTGAACAGCTCTCACAGTTAGGAAGTTCTTCCTCATGTTCAGATGGAATCTCCTCTCTTGTAGTTTGAAGCCATTGTTCTGCGTCCTAGTCTCCAAGGAAGCAGAAAACAAGCTTGCTCCCTCCTCCCTGTGGCTTCCTCTCACATATTTATACATGGCTATCATATCTCCTCTCAGCCTTCTCTTCTTCAGGCTAAACATGCCCAGCTCCTTAAGCCACTCCTCATAGGGCTTGTTCTCCAGACCCTTGATCATTTCAGTCGCCCTCCTCTGGACACATTCCAGCTTAGAGTCAATATCTCTCTTGAATTGTGGTGCCCAGAATTGGACACAATATTCCAGGTGTGGTCTAACCAAAGCGGAATAGAGCATGGGGAGCATGACTTCCCTGGACCTAGACACTATGCTCCTATTGATGCAGGCCAAAATCCCATTGGCTTTTTTTGCCGCCACATCACATTGTTGGCTCATGTTTAACTTGTTGTCCACGAGGACTCCAAGATCTTTTTCACGTACTGCTCTCGAGCCAGGCATTGTCCCCCATTCTGTATCTCTGCATTTTCTTTTTCCTGCCAAAGTGGAGTATCTTGCATTTGTCACTGTTGAACTTCATTTTGTTAGTTTTGGCCCTTCATCTCTCTAATCTGTCAAGATCGTTTTGAATCCTGCTCCTGTCCTCTGGAGTCTTGGCTCTTCCTCCCAATTTGGTGTCGTCTGCAAACTTGATGATCCTGCCTTCTAGCCCTTCATCTAAGTCATTAATAAAGATGTTGAACAGGACCGGGCCCAGGACGGAACCCTGCGGCACTCCACTTGTCACTTCTTTCCAAGATGAAGAGGAGGCATTAGTGAGCACTCTCTGTGTTCGTTCACTTAACCAATTCCAGATCCACCTCACCGTAGTTTTGCCTCGCCCACATTGGACTAGTTTCCTTGCCAGAAGGTCATGGGGGACCTTGTCAAAGAAGGCCTTCCTGAAATCCAGGTATGCTACGTCCACGGCATTCCCCGGCAATGTGTTTTAATTTTTAATATTTTGATTGTAACTGTGGTTGTTTTTGTGATGCTAGCTAGCATCGTATGACGCTTTGGTTAGGCTGCCCTGAGTTCCCCTTCTGGGGAAGAAGGGCGGGGTAGAAATATAGGAAATAAATAAAAAATAAATAATCTTGCAGACTGGAATGATGGCCAAAGAGAGCTAGAACCTCCCTCAATCTCTTTTTCTTACAAAATACAATTGTTGGCCTAATGGATTCCTGTACTCTTCTGTATCCCTTAGGAAAGTATATAACTGGAACTGCAAAGGAAAAGAGCTGGAAAGGTGGACCAAAGGCTGCTCCGTCACGGCTCCGTGGGACAAGTGGTAAACAGTCCTTTCTCCGGATTCTCTGCATTGATGAAGAGCGACCCCAACCCTTGATTGAGAATTGCGCTTTCCTGCTCTGCAATGGGGAACCCACGTCTCGTGCTCAGAGTCCATCATGAATGCTGTTTGGCACCACTTTAACTACCCTGACTCAATGCTTAGGGACCCTGTCAGTTGTAGTTTGACAACGTTTTTAATTATTCTCTGACAAAGCTTTCAATCGCATGGAGTCATGGCTGTTAATAAAGTGATTCCAAACTGCATTCATTCTACATTTGTTTTGATTTCATCCAATAAAACATAATTAAATCTTTGCCAACAATCAAAGCTAAAAAATGTATTGTTGAAGGCTTCCATGGCTGGAATCACTTGGTTGTTGTAGGTTTTTTCAGGCTATATGACCATGGTCTAGAGGCATTCTCTCCTGACCTTTCACCTGCATCTATGGCAAGCATCCTCAGAGGTAGTGAGGTCTGTTGGAACTAGGAAAAAGGGTTTATATATCTGTGGAATGACCAGGGTGGGACAAAGGACACTTGTCTGCTGGAGCTAGGGGTGAATGTTTCAACTGACCACCTTGATTAGCATATAATGGCCTAACAGTGCCTAGAGCAAACTTTCGTCGACTCAAGGCGGTTTACAGGCAACAAGTAATATACATAATATCAAAATGCACATAAAAACATTAAATACAATGTAAAACCACAACAGAAATAATAAGCAACAGCCAGGAGACGTGTTTTTAAAGTCTCTTCCTCAGTCCCCTTCCTTCTCTTAGTTGTCCTGGGAGTGGCAGGGTAGCAGTAGGATTCCTCCTTCTGAGGTGGCAGGCAGATGTAATAATAATAATAATAATAATAATAATAATAATAATAATCCTTTATTTATACCCCGCTACCATCTCCCGAATGACCTGGTGCGGCTTACAAGAGGCCGAGCCCAAATACAACAATAAAACAACAACAACAACAAAATAACTCAAAAAACAAAGCAATAGCAAAGAATAGTGTCATGAAATCTACCTTTCAGTCGACTAGGCCGAAGCCTGCATGACAGTGGCTGTCATCTTGGAAGGCAGGCAGGACAGGAGGAGGAGTCAAGCCGACTCCTGATTGGGTATAGCAATTGGGGGAGGAGTCGGTAGAGAGAGGGAAAATAAGCTGTCAGCTTTTGGAGAGAGGAAGAAGTGTCTTGAGATCAGACAGGGAGAGAAGTGTTTTGACAAGGGAGAGAGAAGGAAGGGATTTTTAGAAGAGGAAGCTAGATAGAGCAGGGATCTGACAGAAAAGGAAGAGCTTTTAGTGAGCCTTAAGTTTAGGGAATAGGCTGAGACAAAAGGCTAGGATTTTACTGTGTTTGTGGGAGCCAGTAAAAGAAAGATTTGTCTCCTTATACTAGGGACAGTATAGGGGAGCTTATTGCCCTGTGCAGACAGGAGTCTGTTCTCAACTGATACTGTGTCTAAAGATAGAACAGTATGTTTAAGGAGTCTCACAGTTGTTAAAAGCTTTTCTGTCAGGGGAACTATTTGTTTAAGTAACCAAGTTTCTGCAACTGAATCACGCTTCTGTACCACTCATTTCTATGAGTTGTTGTTAATATAAAGTTCAATAAACTCTTTCTAGTTAACTTTTAACTGGTGTATGCCTCAATCTATCCATTTCCTCAGAACTCACTCTGTCAAACCCATTTTAAAGTCCAGTCAGCCAGTGAGGAAGCCATAGAAGATCAAGAGCTCAAACACCCCTTACCTATAACACATTCACACCCTTTGGTCCCTCAGGCCAATAATTCTGAGGTGGTGGCGGCTTATACTACCAAGAACATTCGGTCACTTGTATATATAATAGGGCTGGGCGGTTTCGTTTCGTTAATTCGTAATTCGTTAATAATTCGTTAATTTTTTCAATTACAAAACGATAACGAACCATTCTGGAGCAATTATTTAAAAAAACAAATTTTCAAAAACGTTTGTGCGTAACATTGCACACATAGTGCTGTAATTTTTCGATGAATAGACTGTCACGACTATTCGCGGTACTCATAATCCGTTATCGTATTTTGTTGATGGCCTTTTTCGGTTCTGTTATTATTCCGCATCTTCTGGCCAGTTTATGGTTTAATTAGTGAAATAAAAAATTATAAATCTCAGTGCTACGTTCGAAACAAGTCAATCAACAGAGGTGCAGATTCGAGATTTACCGGCGCCAAATGCTCGATGTACTAGTTTCATTTTATTTATCTTATATGAGTATCTAGTTTCTATTCGCTAGCCATTTGATGACTAAGCGCGTCACCTACTTCGCTAAGTCCCTTGACTCTAAGTAGGTCGAGCGTACGCGCGCCAAGTGGAGCAACAATACGAGTAATCGGATGAGATCAGATATCGACATTCATAAAGGCGCGCAACTTACAGCATCAATGCTCGGCATAACATAACCCCAGTGACATAGCCTATATTACACGTCACACCAGTGTGTATGTGTCGCCATGTCAGCAAGAGTGTGGCCCTTTTTTTTTTTAGAGGCTTTTTTAGCGTATTGCAGCTAAGTAAGGCCTTGTGTCGGTCGAGCGCCGACTCGTCCCTACTGTCCATAACATGTACTATATCGATCTCGTATCCATTGTTTCTCTGAGACACAGATAGTATATACTTGGAGTTGTCTTTACACCATATTTGTACCGAAATCGACCATGCACATGATCGAGCGTTGGTTTAAAGTGACATACGAATACCTAGTTGCGGTCGTGTTAATTATTTTAGACTCTCACACCACTATCGCACAACACAACATAGCTACACTCCAGTATAAGTACATAATACGAGTTTATTCGACCACAACAATGTTCGTATCAGCACCGCTCAGATTGTTACCAAATATGCTCTATATTTTATATCAACATTAGTGGTTCTAGCCGCTCTGTGAATTCGCTATATCTGTGGCGAGTCACACAGGTCTGGGATGTAGATTGTTATGCTGCCGCCCGTCCCCTGCCGAACAAGACTATCTGATACATTCAAGACTTAGTGGACGATGCACTCAAATAGCAATACATTAACAACATCCAATGACGCAATTAAAACATTAAATACAATGTAAAACCACAACAGAAATAATAAGCAACAGCCAGGAGATAGGTGTTTTTAAAGTCTCTTCCTCAGTCCCCTTCRTCTTAGCTGTCTTGGGAGGGGGAGAGTAGCAGCAGGATTTCCTCCTTCTCCTTCTGAGGTGGCAGACAGACTTTTCCTCAGCCCCCTTCCTCCTCTTAGCTGGCTTTGGGGGGGGGGGCGAGTAGTAGCAGGATTTCTTCCTTCTGAGGTGGCAGGCAGACGTAGTAAGCAACAGCCAGGAGACAGGTGTTTTTAACTTTCTACAGTTGTAACTTTCTACGGTCAATCCCCCATCCACAAAGCCACAGGTGTTTCCAAATATAATTTCAGGTCTGGTAGACCAAGCCCACCACTTCGTTTATCGTCAATAAGAACTTTCTATTTGATTCTTTGCTTTTTCCATACAAAATTTGTGCCATCCTTTCTCCATTGGGTGAGTGGGCTTTCATGTAAGACAATTGGCATGGTCTGAAACAAAAATATCATCTTTCGTAACATGTTCATCTTTATTGCTGCAAAATAACTTAATTTTTTTCCATTTCATAAGATCCTTCCTTATTTCCTTCCAAACTTGAACATAATTGTTTTCAAATGTTGTTGACCCCTTGTCTGTTAGACGAATTTCCAAGTATTTCACTTTTCTATTTAAAATGCTTAGTCTTCTGACAATTTTTTCTGGGGTTTTTTGTGCAAATTTTAACAATGATCTCGGTTTTCTCTTTGTTGACTTTAAGTCAGTGGTTCTCAACCTGTGGGTCCCCAAATGTTTTGGCCTTCAACCCCCAGAAATCCTAACAGTTGGTAAAGTGGCTGGGATTTCTGGAAGTTGTAGGCCAAAACACCTGGGGACCCGTAGGATGAGAACCACTGCCTAAGTCCTGATATTGTGCCATAATCTGCTAACAACTAGTTTACCACAACTATTGATTCTGCTGGGTTTTCCACCAGCAGCATCAAGTCATCAGCATATAAACTTATTTTTTCATTCCATTTTTCCAATTCTTAAACGTCTTCTATTAATGTTTTGTCGAAGGCTTTCATGGCTGGAATCACTCAGTTCTTGTGGGTTTTTTCGGGCTATATGGCCATGTTCTAGAGGCATTTCTCCTGACGTTTCGCCTGCATCTATGGCAAGCATCCTCAGAGGTGAAGTCTGCTGGAACTGGGAAAAAAAACCCCTTTTCCCAGTTCCAGCAGACCTCACCTCTGAGGATGCTTGCCATAGATGCAGGCGAAACGTCAGGAGAAATGCCTCTAGAACATGGCCATATAGCCCGAAAAGACCCACAAGAACTGAGCGTCTTATATTAGATTCTTCCCATATTTAAGTTAACAGCACTTCTAATGCTGTTATGAAGACAAGTGGTGAGAGAGGGCAGCCTTGTCTAACTCCTTTAGATAAAGATGCTGTTAATTCTTCATTTACTTTTATCTTTGCTACTTGTTTATAAATTGGAGTTATCCATCCCACGAAGTATGCGCCTACTTGCATTTTCCCCACTTTCCTTAAAAAGATTAAACAAAGCAGTTGATGTTCTGATTAATTCCCAAACGAGGCAGTCTGTGTGATCTGTGGAGGCTCAAGCAGAGCATGTCCTAAAATTAGAAGATCTGGATCTGGATTTGGGGACCCAATGTGTGCTTTCCTCATCCACTTGCCTCCTCTTGACATCTCAGGGGGCATCTTTACTGTGGGATTATTGCAGTTTGATGGCATTTGAACTGTCATGGTTCTATTCAGTGAGATCCTGGGAGTCGTAATTCAGCGAGGAACCAGCATTCTTTGGCAGAGAAAACAACTCGATCTGTGACAGTTCAAGAAGAAGAACAGCGTAGATGCACCTTTGGTTTGCTCTTGAGACTGAGTTTATTACTTCTTAAAAATAGGCAGAGTGGAGTAAAACTAGATGACCTTTGAGATGCCTCCTCTATATTATGATTCATTCTTAGGAGTTATTCAACCATGGGATATTTTGGTGCTTGGAAGTCGTGTGGAGTCTCCTGCTCTGGAGGTTTAGAAACAGAGGTCAGATGGTCGTCTGTCAGGGGGGCTTAGATTGGATATTCTTGCCTAGCAGAAGGGAGCTGGAATGATTGCCTTTGAGGGACCCCTTTCAAACACCATAATTCCTTCATTCACTCATCAACTGCTGCCTGGGAGTCCAGTGGAGTTACCTTCTCTAGAGGTTTGGAAGCAAAGGCTGGATGGCCATCTGTCGGGAGAGGTCGAATGATGTCTAACTTGGGTTGTTGTAGGTTTTTTCGGGCTATATGGCCATGGTCTAGAGCATTGTTTCTCAACCTTCCTAATGCTGTGACCCCTTAATAGAGTTCCCAATGTTGTGGTGACCCCCAACCATAACATTATTTTTGTTGCTACTTCATAGCTGTCATTTTGCTACTGTTATGAATCATGATGTAAATATCTGATATGCAGGATGTATTTTCAAATCCCCAATACCCGATATACCCAAATTTGAATACTGGTGGGGTTGGGGGTGATTTATTTTGTCATTTGGGAATGTTGGAGTTGCTGGGTTTTATAGTTCACCTAAAATCAAAGAGCCTTCTGAACTCCACCAATGATGGAATTGAATCAAACTTGGCACACAGAATTCCCATGACCAAGAGAAAATACTGAGAGGGTCTGGTGGACATTGACGTTGAGTTTTTGGAGTTGTAGTTCACCTACACCCAGAGAATACTGTGGACTCAAACAATGGTGGATCTGGACCAAACTTGGCACAAATTCTCAATATGCCCAAATGTGAACACTGGTGGAGTTTGGGGAAAATAGAACTTGACATTTGGGAGTTGTAGTTGTAGGGATTTATAGTTCACCCACAATGAAATAGCATTCTGAACCCCACCAATGATAGAATTGGACCAAACTTCCCACACAGAACACCCACGACCAACAGAAAATACTATGTTTTCTGATGGTCTTTGGTGACCCCTCTGACACCCCCTTGCGACCCCCACAGGGGTCCTGACCTCCAGGTTGAGAAACACTGGTCTAGAGGCATTCTCTCCTGACGTTTCGCCTGCATCTATGGCAAACATCCTCAGAGGTAGGATCCACTACCTCTGAGGATGCTTGCCATACATGCAGACGAAACGTCAGGAGAATGCCTCTAGACCATGGCCATATAGCCCGAAAAAACCTACAACAACCCAGTGATTCCGGCCATGAAAGCCTTCGGCAATACGATGTCTAACGTCTTGGAATGAGCTCAAGGACTCTAACTCTTCTGCATACTCTGTCCAATGCTCCCTATCTCTTTCTTGCAGTTTTCTTGCTTTGGAAATAAGCCTGTTTCCCCGTGTGGTCCTCCCACATAAGCCTCCATGGAGATAAAATCAGATCTCTGCATATGGAAGGAGGCTGGAGCAATGAAGCTTTTCCCTTTGGCAATTTTCTTTCTCCTTGTTGCAGGGYACGAAAGAAAGATTTATTTATTATTTAAAAGTTTTATATACCGGCCTTCTCACCTCTCTTGGGGGACTCAGACCGGTTTCCAACCATAATATCACATACAGTTAATAAAAACATAATAATTCATTTTACACTAAAACATTAAAACAGCAYTTACATTCAATAACTGCAATGGTCAGTCGTCACACTAACTTGTTCATCATCCTCCATCCATATCTGGCTCACTCGTCGAATGCCTGRCTCCATAACCAAGTCTTCACCTGTTTCCTAAATGTCAGGATAAACGGGGCAGTTCTGATCTCCTGTGGAAGAGAGTTCCAGAGTCGCGGYGCCACCACTCGAGAAGGCCCRGTCCCTCGTCCCCACCAGACGCGCTTGCGAGGCCGGTGGGACCGAGAGCAGGGCCTCTCCAGATGATCTTAACAACCTAGATGGTTCATAGGGGAGAATATGTTCGGAGAGGTAAACAGGGCCGGAGTCATTTAGGGCTTTATAGGTTAACACCAGCACTGTGAATTGTGCTCGGAAGCTAATTGGCAGCCAGTGGAGCTGGTGTAACAGCGGAGTGGTGTGCTCCCTGTACCCAGCCCCCGTTAGTAGTCTGGCTGCCGAGCGTTGGACTAGCTGTAGCTGCAGCTACCGGGCAGTCTTCAGAGGCAACCCCACGTAGAGAGTGTTGCAGTAGTCTAAACGGGATGTAACCAAAGTGTGGACCACCGTGGCCAAGTCAGACTTCCCAAGGTACGGCCGCATCTGGCGCACAAGTTTATTCAACATCTGCATGATGCCAAGGTGGACGGATTCGAGGGCCTCTCCTTGGCTGACTGAGTTCCTTCTTTCTGAGTTGGATTTCTTCTTTGAAACCTGACTATGGAATTCGCCTCTTCTTCCCTTAAATGTTAAGGCTGGTGTTTCTCTTGCTCCCTCCAAAGGTGTATCTACACCAGTGGTTCCCAACTTGTGGTCCATGACCACTGGTCCGCAAGAACTAAAATATGGTTCGTGGCCTCACCGCTACTACACCGTTGCAACGAGAACAACTGAGATGCCATCTGTTCAAAAAAGGAACCAAGGGTTTTTAAAAAATCTTTCAAATGCAAGATTAAACACTAGATGGCATGAGTTGATGGAGTGAGACAAAAAAGAGCAGTGCAAGAGTGCATGAGAGAGCAGACAGGGGTCAAAAGTGAGGAACATGGCTCAACATAACCTATCAAAACAACGCAGCATCCAAACACAAGCCATTTAGGAGGTGGAGGATTTTCATAGAGGGGTTCTCCATCCTGTGTCATGGGCTGGCAAATGAAGGCAACACCCTCCAGGCACAGATGGATTCTAAAGGCAAGTTTATTTCTTGTAACAGAAAGGCGACGGACTGTGGGTAACTACGGTGATTGCCAAAAGGCAGCACCAAGATCTGGTCCTGTTGGGGTCACCGCTGTCTACCTTTACCGAATCATCTCCTCCTCCTCCTCCTCCTCCTCCTCTTCTGGACTTCTGCAACTCCAAACTCAGCCAAAAAGGGTCTTTGTCTTGCAAATGATAAAAGTCGCTTTCGTGCAGGGCTGGGAGCGAAGGCTTCCATTCTGGAGATAGGCACAGCCCTCCTGGCCCAACTCAGGGTGGCTGCGGCAAACGAGAAAAGGAGTAGAGTTTACTCATCTGGACAGCCCTGAACCTTCCAGACGTCTGCTTTGTGTTTCTAATGTGATTATTTAATGTGCAAAATATTTAGGAAAACAATCCTGGAACGAATAAAGATTTGCTACCACACCCGACTTGACTTCCACACCGAAGTGGGAAAACTCAGTTTGTGGCACTGTCATTAAACATCGATAAAACCAAAGTGCTCTTCCAGCAGTCACCAGCCAATCCCTCTGTAATGCCAGAAATGCAGATTAATGGTGTAACATTAGAAAACGTGGACCATTTCCTCTACCTTGGCAGCCACCTCTCCATAAAAGTCAACATTGACACAGAAATACAACACTGCCTGAGTTCTGTGAGTGCAGCATTCTTCCGAATGAAGTAGAGAGTGTTTGAGAACCAGGACATCCGTAGGGAGACCAAGGTGCTTGTTTATAAAGCTATTGTCCTCCCAACCCTGCTGTATGCCTGCAAAACGTGGGCTATCTACAGGCGTCACACTCAACTTTTGGAACGATTCCATCAGCGGGTTGTTGTAGGTTTTTCTGGGCTATATGGCCATGTTCTGGAGGCAATTTTTCTCCTGACGTTTCGCCTGCATAATGTCAGGAGAAAAAATGCCTCCAGAACATGGCCATATAGCCCGGAAAAACCTACAACAACCCAGTGATTCCGGCCATGAAAGCATTCGACGATACATTGAAGATTCCATCAGCGCTGCCTCCAAAAAATCCTGCAAATCTCATGGGAAGACAAGTGGACAAATGTCAGCATGCTGGAAGAAGCAAAGACCACCAGCACTGAAGTGATGCTCCTCCACCATCAACACCGCTGGACCGGCCACGTAGTCCAGATGCCCGACCACCGTCTCCCAAAGCAGTTGCTCTATTCCAAACTCAAGAACGGAAAACGGAATGTTGGTGGGCAGGAAAAGAGATTGAAAGATGGGCTCAAAGCCAACCTTAAAAACTCTGGCATAGACACTGAGAACTGGGAAGACCTGGCCCTTGAGCACTCCAGTTGGAGGTCAGCTGTGACCAGCAGTGCTGCAGGATTTGAAGAGGCACAAATGGAGGGTGAAAGAAACGTGCCAAGAGGAAGGTGCATCAAGCCAACCCCGACCGGTACCGCCCTCCACCTGCAAACCGATGCTCTCACTGTGGGAGAACATGCAGGTCAAGAATAGGGCTCCACAGTCACCTACGGACCCACCCCCAGGACACTACACTTGGAGGACCATCATCCTCGGACTACGAGGGGTCGCCTAAGTAAGTAAGTACTGTGGTCACATGGGTGCATTACTGGCCATTTCGAGTTGCAATGTGACATCAGTTCCTTATTTAATTTGTACTTCACCTTTCCTCCAATTTGGGACCCAAAGGGGCTCACCGTATGGGTTCATGCCATTTCCCCAGGGATTTAAGGGCTTCGGACAGATTTGTTTGTTGTTGTTTGCCTTCAGGTTGTTTCCATTGTATGGTGACCTGAGGGCAAAACTATCCCCGGCTTCCTCTGCCGAGATCTGTCCAGAGGAAGTTCATTATGGTCTTCCTTTGGGATTGAGAAAGTGTGGCTTGCCTTCAGAGCCTGGTTCCCATGGTCATAGAATCACCAAGTTGGAAGAGACCCCGAGAGCCCCCCAGCCCAGCCCAGCCCCCTTTTACCAGGCAGAAGTGGTGCTGCCCACCCTTATTCTGCCATGTGCGGTATAGATGCACATCTGAATGCCCTGGAATCAGAGGGACACTTACTTTTTCGAATTGAAAGCGGATCCATCTGTCCACATCCACTGATTCGCATCCGTGTCGTACTTTAGGCCAATCCAGAATTTGTGGAAGTTGCTGTGCTTGTGACGATCAAAATGTTTTATTGATTCATGCTTCAGGAAATCCTACAATGTGAAACAACAGGGATTTTGTGTGTGTGTGTAAAAATGCTGACGTATATGGCAAAAACACAAACTGAGAAGGCACTTTGCTCGTGCAATTGTCCCCGAGAGCGGCGGAGACCCCCGCCTTCAAATTGGTATGAACCGCAGTGGAGAGTTCCGCAGTGGAGAGTTCCTGGGAGCCAAGTTTGGGACCAACTGATGAAATGTGCCCCAGCAGGCAGCTCAAAACTAGGACTGCACTCAGCCTCCCATTACTTTCCCCTCTCCTTACTTTGTAACAAATCCCCGATGAAGGTACTTGAATTTTGCAACTTTTTACCTTTTCCACCTGATACTTTGTATCCTTCCCTGCCTCAGACTAACCCAAACATGAAATAAACTTCTTTCCGGGCTCCGGGCAACCGCGGGCCCGCCTGGGATGCCTTCTGGGCGTCCCGGGGAGGCCGAATCTGTGTCAGTTAAAACCGCGGATACGGAAACCTTCCTATTGGACCCCCGTATCCGCTAAAATCTCAAAATGGCAGATCGGCCCCGTTTCAATTCCATATTTTTCTATACCTGATTCCTAACTAAACTGCTATCTCACTTTTCTCACTTCGGATTCCTACACCCGGGAAATAATTGTTTTGTTTAAAAGAATAAATTTTGACAGAAATCAGCTGATTGCCAAACTCCGCCGGCTCTGCACATGCAGTCCATTTCTCTTCATTGCCGTTCGTTCCTGCCTAGCCCTGCAGCCGGGGACTTGCTGTGGATGTCCCCAGGAGGCCTTGGGAAGGGGGCCGGGCAGGAGACCCAGTCCTTGGGAGGGAGTTATGGTTCTCCAAGGACCGAACGATGGATCTTGTTGTTAATCAACTCAGCACCCATCTGCTGACTTCTACTGGGAGAAATGGCTCTCTGCGGCTTGATTTGGACTGCAAGCCACCTCCGTCTCCGCAAACTTTCCCCAGGAACATGGGATTTCAAGTTCTTTTTAATAAAAAAATCAACTATTTTAATAAAATTGATCAAGATGTGGGGTGGGAATGGGGTTTTCCTTTATGAACTTTGTATAAAATAATGCATGAAATGTCGTCCGTTTCCCGCCTTTCCCTTTGACTTTTGCCCCATAAAGAAGTGACCAAGGACTGTTGCAATGCCTGAGGGAGAATCCTTGCCTCCCTTGAAACTTCCTTTGATTGATTCATCGGCATGAACAATAGCCATTTATGATTTCCTTTTCCTCGTTTTCTGAGTCGGTCTGGCGAGATAAGGAAGTCTATTTGGATATGGACATTATGATTGATTTACAAAGGGCAGGGTTGATCCCCCCCGAGGTCCCCTGCCCTGATCCTGTTTGTTTCCCTCACCAAAACCCATCAAGGACAGGAAAGCCTTTGTTTGTGAAGATCGCACCTTGCCAGCCAAAACAAAGCCTCACATTCCAGCTGGCTGGCTATCTATAATCCCATCATTTCCCCCATTGTCCGCGGTCGGCCCGCCTTCTCTCTTCTGATTCGTCTGTCCTCGGAAGCGAAAGAAGCGCGCTGATTGGCCCTCCAGAGGCGGAGGAACTCGCTGATTGGCCCAGAGCAAGGCGGGCCGCCAAGCCTCCTACCAGCTGTTCGAGCTGTCAACCAATCAGCGCGAAGCCGGGCAGAGAGGGGCAGGCGGGAAATTCAAAAGGTTTTACTGTGTTTTCTCTATAAATATGTTTGTAAATTCTTTAGCGGTATGCTTGTAGAGGAATTATCCCTACTATTGCATCCGATTGCAGCTGAATCGCAAATAAAACACCTCGGTCGCTGAACTTCTTCCGCTTTGGTGAGGATTTATTATTTTAAATATTTTTTATCGCTGAAATTGGCTTCGCTGGCCTCACCAAGGTTCCAGGACTCTCTTTGGTGCGGTCCTCAGGGATCCCCTCGGCTGGGGAGACCCTCCTAAAAGCAGCTCGATATCGCAGGCAATGCTTTTTGCTTACTGCTGGTCCTTGTATATGTAACATGAAGGCTTCCTAGCGCAGACAGCAAAGTTCCCAAACAGGTACACAAACTGTGAGCTCCACTCCTTTTTAAAAAGTGAAGGATTGTTCCATTCTCTTTGGCAGCATTTTTAGTGTCTGGTGTGTGTATGAATTTTCCCAATTAAGGTTTGCTGTTGTTGTTCATTCATTCAACGGAATGTTGGTGGACAGGATAAGAGATTTAAAGATGGGCTCAAAGCCAACCTTAAAAACTCTGGCATAGACACTGAGAACTGGGAAGCCCTGGCCCTTGAGCGCTGGAGGTCAGCTGTGACCAGCA